TATATCTATATCTATATCTATATCTATATCTATATCTATATCTATATTCTGTGTGTGGTTCTTTGTGTGATGTGCAAATATTTTAGACAAAGAAAAACAGGTATTTTCCAGCATTGAATAGTCATGATATAATTGCGGATGTGATACCATTTGAAACCAATGGGAAGAAAAGTACGTAAGAAAATATCATCAGTACAATTTCACATAAACAATTGAGATTCTTGATTTCAAAATAGAGTAGCTGAATAGGACAATGGAATAAGGTACACATTCAACATGGGGTCATTTCACAGTTATTATTTACTACTAAGATACTCAGTACAATTCTTCCTCAAGTCACTCCTGGAATGTAAATTATTAAAACAATGTAAGAAATCAAAGATAAAGTAGAAGAATTTGGTCTTCACAAGGTATCCATGAAAACTGAGGATAATAGAGGAAGATTATTGTTTGGAAGTCAATTTACCAGTTTATCTTCACATTAATAATTATTGTTTGGGAGGAAGAGTAATAGGACAGGTGCAATATTTGCAATAGGCATAAAGATCTGTTTTTTCTGGATATTATTCAATATTTAAAAATCAATATTGAACATGTAAATGAATTGTGATTCTGTAATGAAATGGATACTTTGGGATACAATAGGATTCATGAATTTTGGGATTTGACCTGATTATAGCATCTAATGACAATGGAAGCACAGGTTTTCATTGGATATTCTGTACCTATCCCAGGTGTAACATAGGCCACTCTGTGCATATTATATGTATGTCAGATGCTCCACAAATTAGACTGCCTAGCCCTGGCAAGGAATTCTTGATGTAGTGCCCCATGTGTAACCATTGAATTCGGACTTGTGTGTCCCTTTTTAACCACTAATTTATGGATTGCCTGTGGGTCAGCTAGGAAAATACACTCACCTCATTTTTAATGATGTTCCCATTAAGTTTGTTAGGGTTGGGTTTAAATTTTCTAAAAATGTGCTCCACCAAGGGAACTCGTAACCACAAACAAGAGTGATGTCATGGAATGAGAGACTGAGCTATCACCTTATATATGTATCAACCCATGTTTTCCTCATGCAGTGTGCAACCCATATGCAGAGCCGCAGGGAAAAGAGTTTAAAATTTTCCTTCGTGAATGATGAAACACTTGGGGAAAAAGGAATTACAGATTCAAAAATAGTATCTCATTTGGCCAAGAAATAAAAATAGGTAGGAAAAGTAGGTGCCCATTTAATGGGCTTATCTACTTCACACTTTCCAATTCATGCTGCCCTGTTGCAGCATAGGACAGAGATGTTCATTTTGACATTCTTCTTGCTGCTGCTGAACCTTCCCAGTCTCATGGCCAGTTTCATTCATCCCAGGTATTTTTGGAAAATGAAGCAGAGTGAAGGCAAAGATGGAGACTTGAAGAAAGGTTGTATCTTCTTCCCCACCATATTGGAGTGGCCAGTGGATAAAGAGTATTTCAAAAAAATTTTGAATATACAGTAAGTATTTTTCATTTTCCACATAAATGTCATCATCTATATTTCAATATTGGTCTTGAATCTTCTGCCCTATTTTCTGAAACTCCATACCAACAAAGGATCCCATGATCTTTTAGAGCCTCCTTGCTATTTTATCATTTTTTTCTGTCCAGTGTGTGTTCTGTTTTTCTTCCACTTACAGGCTGGAAGTGGAAAGAAAGAAGCAGTCTCTACCATGATTTATCACAAACAGAACCCTCCTCTCTACATTGTCCATAGCACAGTAGCCAGTAGTGTCTCATCAATGAAAATGGAAACTATTTCAATGAATTTCATAATAAGAACATGAAAGTAAATGACCATAGAATCTGCTGATGGTCCTTTCATCAATGTGGTCTTGTTTGAAGATCACAAGTATTTGTGTCACACATAGCTGCAAATATATTTCACATAGCTATTAAGTACTCCCTAAAATTCATTTCATGTTGCCACTCTGCCTCCAAAGGCATATTCATTGTGAGCTCCATTTTTCTTCCAGTTTCTCCATACTTTACTTATATGCATGAACTACCACTGGCTTTTAAATATTGCAAAGTCCATTACTCTGTTCTCCCTTTACAGTAAAGAAGGAATATATAGATTGTATTCTTTAAAAACTGAGGCTACAACTAATAATGATGACTGGTTACATTCTTTGTCAGTTTTATGAGTGATATCTGTGGCATATGATATTTGTCAACACTTGACAACAGGGAGAGGAGTTACCTAGTACCTCATCTTTGACCTTATTTAAACATCCTGTTTATTTTCTCTTTATGTATAATTTGTTCATTCTTTGACACTTATATCACACTTAACTCTTATGTTTCTCTTTCAGTATTTTTACTAATTATAGGTGCTTACTTTTCCAATGTAGGCACTATATGCTTTTATTTTCTAGAATGCAGGTATTTGGTTTAAAGCACAGCACTTTCTTTCAATAGGCAAATATGAGAGCTGATGTCACTGATATTTCTTAATTACAGTATAGTGAAGTTAGTGTTTCAGTTGCATAAGATCTATTTCCAAATTCCTTTTTTTTGGAAATCATTATGATACTTTTGCTGATAAGGTGCATTTATAAAGTGCCTTTTTATATACAGAGACATGAGAAAGTTAAAATTTCTAAATGTGAAACATATTGTATTTAACTCTGAGTAAATCATTCAAAATAAACTGATATATATTAATCATATTATATAAAATGACTATGAAGAAGCATGAGCTATCATTCTTCACATAAACATAAATACAACATGCTAATGTTCTCATCGAACTTACTTGTTCATTTTTATAACAAAACAATTAAGCATTGTCACACAATTTACACTTTATATTCTTCTAATTTAGAAATATGTAATACTGTCAATAAAAATATAATTAGGATTACAGTGTTGTATTAGTGTAAATGCAAAGGTAATCAAATGACATTGTCTAGTAGAGAAATATGGTAGTCAGATATGCCCACTTTTAGTATATGACATAACTATGTAAAAATGAAATAGTTGAACAATACTCTAGTGGGGATACATACCATTAATATCATCTTTCAGGACCTAGAGCAGGTGTATCCTTTTGTATATGAGACCACACTAGACTATAGACAATTGTAAATCAATACCAAATAATTTGTGCCCTTTTGTGGCCAAAAATATCATTAAACTTGTCAAACACTCATATGGATGCAGACATATACATTTTTTGCAAAGTATCTCTTTGTTGCTTGAATTTATTTGAAAATGACTATTAAAAAGAGTTTTTTTCCCACAACATTTAACCCTGAAAGAAAAACATGACCAAGATTTAGAAAGGCATGAGATGATATGCTAAGTCTACTATAAAATAATTATCATGAACTGAAAGATAATAACCAAATTTTGCTTCTTAAAAACTATTTTGTAGTCATCTGTGATTTTTTTATCAACCTTAGCCATTTCAGTAATTTTCATAAGAAACTGATATAAATGCTTTAGGCAACACATCATGTGCATTTTTATATTACTCAATAAGTTCAATATGAAGATGGATATGCTTATTAGTATTATTAATATTATTATAATTATTATTATTATTTCTTATATCCAGTGGGCTTTTTGGAAGCTGCATCCCTGGCCCTTTCAACATTTTCTTTGAATGTAGTTCTCAACTTGTAATCCCCACCCCCCCCTGCCTCCCAAGTGCTGGGATTAAAGGCGTGCACCACCACCGCCCAGCTTGAATAATTTGAATGTTTGCTCAATGACTATGCCATGTCTATACCTTCTGAGGAAGCACTCATAAACCAGAGGTGGAAAAGATTTCTGTTTGAGATGCCAAGGACACATCTCATTCATGGGAGATCCAGCCCCAAGGACTAGAAAACTTTTTCAAGCTTCCAAATTCTTATGCCTTTCCACCTCACACAAGAAGATATTTGTTTCAATATTTGAGGGAGGTTAGTCCTTGTATTGACTACAAATAATTGTGTAATTTCTCTGTCCATATTAACCTTTGCACTGTTTTACAGAACACCAACTGAGAACTACAAGTTTGCACTGTCCTTGGCTTTTACCATGGATGAGGTCAACAGGAACCCTGATCTGTTACCAAATAAATCCTTAGTATTTGAATGGAATGAAGACAATTGTAAGAGTGTGTATGAATGGTACAGTGCCATTCAACTTTGGCGATATTACCCTAATTTTGTCCCTAATTATATCTGTGAGGAAGATACCATGTGTATTCTGGTACTTACAGGACCAAACTGGGAAACGTCTGTGACAATTGGGTCATACCTGGAACTCTGGAAATTCCAACAGGTAAGAATTTTATGGGTTATGTTTGACTGAAATTGTGACCTCATGGATAACATTGCCAGATACTAAAAACTGTGTTAGGACAGGACTAGACTTACATTTATGTCAATCTATGTAGCTCACGAGTACTATTCAGAGAATGATGGGCCATCCACATTTCCTTGTTTGTAATACAGATGAGGGAAGAAGTAATAGCTAAGGGAATTAGGTAAGAGGATTTTCTAGATCTCTTTGCAGAGAAAAATAACACCTTTACAAGTTATTAGGAGTGCATGGTATCTCATTATGCTCCCTCCATCCTAGGTCATACAGCTTACCTATGGACACTTCCATCCAATCCTAAGTGATCATGAAAAATTTCCCTATCTGTATCAAATGGCCCCCAAGCACACCTCTCTATCCTTGGCCATGGCCTCTGTCATAGTTCACTTCAGCTGGAACTGGGTAGGGCTGGTCATCTCAGATGATGATCAGGGTACCCAATTTCTCTCATATTTGAGAAGAGAGTTGGAAAAGAATACAGTCTGCTTTGCCTTTGTAAATATGATCCCAATTAACATGCAGTTATACATATCAAAAGCTGAATTGTATTATAACCAAATCAAGGAATCATCCACAAATGTTGTTATCATTTATGGAGACTCATACAGTACTCTTGCTGTGAGCTTTCAATTTTTGGCATCCCGAGGTTTACAGAGAATATGGGTCATCACCTCACAGTGGGATACGACTACAAGTAAAAGAGACTTCATGCTTGACTCATCACATTTGACTCTAGCTTTTGCACACCATCATGGTGAGATTTCTGGGTTTAAAAATTTTGTCCAGACAATGAATCCTATCAAATACACAGAAGAATACCTTGCAAGGCTAGAGTGGATGAACTTTAACTGTGACGCTTCCATATCTAACTGTAAAACACTGATGAATGACTCATTGAATAACTCCATGGAACGGCTAGTGGTACGGACTTTTGACATGTCCTTTAGTGATGGCATTTATGACATCTATAATGCTGTGTATGCTCTGGCCCATACAATACATGCAATGTTTCTTCAGCAAGTAGAAAATCCGACCATGGTCAATGGGAAAGGACATGATTCTTGGTGTTTGAAGGTAATGTTTCTTCTATTGGATGATATTTGGTGTCAGCAATGGGGTCTTTATGAAGACCAAAGTCAGTGCACTACGAAGTATTCCCATAAAAAGAATATTCTTTTAACATTTTTTTTCTGCTGAGGGAGTACATCTAGAGTTTGGTAGAAATCTCTAGTACAAAGGCAATGGAGCAGAAGACAAAATGCATCAAGGACAATCAGCAATTTTTTACTAAGCATCTGAATATCATAACCCCTGTTCTAATATTGAAAACATCATCATTCCTTTCTAATGAATTCTCTGTTATTATATGAGGTCTGTGTACATGAGTTATGAAGAATATTGTAAATACTACAGATGGCCATATTCATAAGTGTTCTCTACTGATTCTTCCCCCACTGTCAGGTCTGGGAACCACCAGTGGCTTTCTGATACTTATTAAACAGGCAATATTCCTGTGATTCAGTTCAGTATATACTTGTGCATTAATGTGTGTGACTGGAGGTTTCTCACTATATGTGTGCATGTTTGTGTTTTTCTGTTCATCTCTGTGTGTATGTCTTCATATGGAGATTTCAATGAGCATTTGTATGTCTTCCTGTATAATTGATAACAAATTAGTCTGACTTTCTGCATGGGTATTTTTTTTTGTGTGTATCTACATGTGTATACTTGGCAGTTAATGTGTCTGCATGAGTCTATGTATATATGTATGTATATATGTATGTATGTGTGTCTGTGTGTGCTCATTTTCATTTGTGTTCTTACACATATGTATATCTGCATCGTTTTGTCTGTGTGTGTGTGTATCTGTCTGTCTGTCTCGATGTATAGATAAGTTTTTCTGTTTGTCAATGATTCTCTCATTTGGTATTTGTACCTGTGTTCATTTCCCTGTCACGTCTATCTCGACCAGCAAGAGAAACACGACCATGACACTTCTTCAAGCAGTTTATTTAGGAACCTTGTACATCAGCTTCTCTCTCTCCCACCCCCCACAAGCCCTTAAAAGCAAGCTCATTACCTAATTAGCTCATCGCCACCTGGCAATGGTGAATAGGTCACAGCTGGAGGAGGCACACCAGATCCACTAAGCGCTTCCAAATAAGGCTTCTTTAGAGCTAAGCTCGGTCTCTCTGGCATCCAGCAAGGCACCATCTTGGGGCTGTGGCTCACCACATTTCCTTTTTTTATTTAAAAATAACACAACAGGCAAGGGTAGAGGTCTAATCCCTGAAATCAAGGGACTTTGTAATGACCCCATGCCCAGTTATCGG